CGCGGGCCGGCTCCGCCTCTTCCAGGCTCTTCCTTCCTCTGCGCGCCCGCCCGCGCCGAATCTGCGGCGGCCGCCGAGGGAAACTTTCCCTGCGAGTCTCTGCATTCCTGCAGACGCGGGCCGGGCGCACGTGACCAGCGCCCTCGTCCAGTCCTTCGCCCGCGCCTCGGGAACCCGGACCTTAGGCTGGCTCCGAATTCCAGTCCCTGCTGAGAACGCGGCTGCCCTTGGCCGCAGCGAGTCCTTCCGCCCCGCCTGGCTCTCGGCGGCCAGAAGTCAGGAAAGGCTCCTTCAGTGCCTGCACCGCGACGTGGCCAAGGGCGAAAGAACTCGGCAGTGCACATGAAATCCACTTACACCATCCCCGCGGAATGCCCATGCGGGCTTCCGGCCTTCAGCAGATGTTGGAGTTAAAAATTGATAACCATTAACAGGCACCAGTCTTAGTAAAGGGCCGTTTTTTAAACATTAACTTCATTTTGCAGACTCCCCCCCACCCTCCCGCGGTATTGAGTATTGAACCCAGTGCCTCCACTTTGAACAACATCCCCAATCCCTTTATGTGTTTTAAACTTTCAGGCAGTCTCACTAAATTACCCAGGTGACGTTCAGATTTGTACCCTCCTGCCTCAGCTTCCCAAAGAGCTGGGATTACAGGCTTGCTTACTGACTCTTAGTATGTGGAAAAGTACACAATGGGTAAATGAGTACTTGAAGCTTGGATACTAGGTGTACATCTTACTAAAGGAACCCCCCCAAAATTGCCTATTTAAAAAAGTGAAAGTTGCATCAACTTTTTACCCCTGGAATTTGCAGTACAGTCCCCGAAACCCTCAAAGCCCCCTCTAAAGTGCTTAACTTAGGTTACAAGCATTTCTCTGTACTTAGCTTTCATCCTGGAGGCTCTCAGAGCCAGGAATCCCTTTGCTTAGTTAGCCGTGTCCCTGGCATGAGGACGGACACATAAATGTGGACAGAATACGAAATGAGTGGGTGAAGAGGTTATCTTGGGCACCCAATTATCTGGGTGGCAGTGTCTTAGATGCAAGGAGTCCATTTGGGATCACTCAAAAACAATTTTTTTTCAAGTCATACACTTTTAAAAGCAGCTATATTGAGATATAATTCATATACTATGCAGTTTGTCCATTCAAGCAGTTTGGTGTTTTTCAGCATATCAGATTGTGCAACAGCACTCATTTAAATTCCACTACAAAATAAAACCCACTACCTCTTTCTAAAAAAAAAAAAAAAAAAAATCTGGCTTATTGTTTTAATGATTTTATCTGTAATGCTGATAAAACAGGTGTAAACAGCATTAAGTAAAGAAAGGGCCGTTGTACAAAAAGATAATCTTCCTCCAGCCAGAACATGCCCGGGATAATTCCAAGTTGAAATCTGTATCACTTCTAGAAGTAGATCAGACACATAAGCTTAAATATTGCATGGTTTCTCATATGAGAGCCCCGTTATATCAATAAAGTTCAAAATAAGGAATAGACAGTAGGAGATAGTGAGATGGGTCTTTGGCACGTGGGGAGTGACGGGGTGGGGAATGAGTTTAAAGGAGGGGTGGTATTTGCTTGTATCAAGTCCCAGGAGGAATATGATCATCATACTGCACTACAAACATGTAATCGTATACATATATATTAGGGGGCTCGAGAGATGCGGGGAGTGCTAAAAGAATTGAAAAATGTCATGTACAGTGCATGTACCAACACCCCACGATGCATGCAATTATGTATTAAAACGTGTACTAATAAAAATTGTTTTAATCTATCACTTGGAGTAGTGAGGTTGGGCCAGCAGGTTTCACACAGTTCAGATTCTAATGTAACTACATTGGACCCCAGTTTCCTGTCTGAAGAAGGGAATTGGTGTAAATGAACCGCCAATGCGTAGGTTCTGGAGTTACAGAACCTAGTTCCTCCATTTACTAGCTGTGAGACATTGAACAAGTTATTTAATATTGGAGTCAGGGGTAATAACACCTGCCTCATACATATGATTGTTGAAGCATTAAATGAGTCAATGGATATAAAGTACTTAGCCCAGTTTTGACATACGGTGAGTTCTTGGTAAATGTCAACTATCATCATTGTCACATTTTTATAGATTACTTGACAAGTAGTGCTATAGCCTCTCCCTTGGAAGAACCCCCCACACACATTCTTTTGTTATATAGTCCATCCTGGCCCTAAACTCCCTGTGTGCCCAGTGCAGCCTCGAATTCAAAATTCTTCTGCCAAGTGCTGAGATTACAGGTGTGTGCCACCCCTTCCAGCTGCAAGACCTTTTCTCATCACAACTTCAGGAATCTGTTGCTGTTTTCCTCTTTCATCCAAGAATCAGTCCACACAAACAAAGCCTTTCAGCAAAACTACGCACTAAAAACTCCAACTGATAGAAAACTGAAAGAACCAAAGTGACTGAAACCATGGAGTTGTACTGGAAGCTATGTCTTAACTAGAGGACTTACTACTATGAACACTATAATTAAATGGTTTACCATATAGCAGAAGTTGTTTTGTTCAATATTGTTTCACCTGCCACTAAATTGAGAACAAAATTACCTTGATAAGTGTATTGAAGGACTTTTTGGAGTGATTTTATATTCTGTAGGCATATCTGTGTCATCAACCAAGATTTTGTAACTTGCTGTTCCTTGTCTAATAAAATTTCCGTCATAGGTTAGTAAGGGATAAAGACAAAATGGATTCAGTTCTTTGTCCTCTTTCTTCCTCCTATGCCCCATTTTAGAACAATTGTAAGTTTGATGCAGCTTGAAATGGAGAGTAAACACTTAAAACATACCTTGCTGAGAAGTAAAAGAAATGGCAGTCCCTCTGTGAGCCTCTGGGAAGCCCTGCTAACTGACACCTGGTTTCTGGGGACTACCAAAGGGCATCTCACAGATGAGTGGACTGTGCCCTTCCTCATTCACGGTCTCCAGCCAGGTTTCCTTGCATCTGCCACGAACCTCTTATAGGAGATAGCTGCTCTAAATGTGAGCACTCTCTGTCATGTTTATTTCATTGTCTTGTTACCACTTAGAAATCTACCTCTCCAGCTGCTCAAGATAGGGAGGTAGCCATGCACAAAGCCCTGAAAGTCTTCCCCCACAAACCTGCAGAAATGTGTCCTATGTGCTCACAAGGCTTTCCCTCCACAAGTGCATAACTATATTTGAAAAAAGCAGTCCATGTACCTGTTCTCAATTTCTTCACCTTTTGTTTATTCACCCTTCAGCTCAATACAT